TTGCCCCGCAGTGCTGGTGCTGCTCATCCTGTCCCTGCGGCGGCACCGGAAGCAGCCCTACATCATCGACGACGACGAGAACATCCACGAGAACATCGTCCGCTACGACGACGAGGGCGGCGGCGAGGAGGACACGGAGGCCTTCGACATCGCCGCCATGTGGAACCCCCGGGAGGCGCAGCCGGGCGCCGCCAAGACGCGGCAGGACATGCTGCCCGAGATCGAGAGCCTGTCCCGCTACGTGCCCCAGACGTGCGCCGTGAGCAGCACCGTGCACAGCTACGTGCTGGCCAAGCTCTACGAGGCCGACATGGACCTGTGGGCGCCGCCCTTCGACTCGCTGCAGACCTACATGTTCGAGGGCGACGGCTCCCTCGCAGGCTCCCTGAGCTCCGTGCAGTCGGCCACCTCGGACTCGGAGCAGAGCTTCGACTTCCTCACGGACTGGGGGCCCCGCTTCCGGAAGCTGGCGGAGCTCTACGGGGCGGCGGAGGGGCCGGCGCCGCGCTGGTGACGGAAGCCGGGAGGGGACGCGCCGATGCGCCACGTGCTCCGCGCGCGCTTCGCGGATGTGCGGGGAGAGCGAGCGAGGCGGCTGAGCGGTCCCCGGCCCCGGTCCCCGGTCGGGCGCTCTCGGCCTCAGCTTTCCTCGGTTAGGGGACCCTACAGATCCAGACGGAAACGCAGAGCGAGGAGGGCCACAGACACCCAGCTCCTTCCTTCTTTTTTCTTTCTCCTTGTGTTCAGACCGTGCGTTCAAAAGCTTCGTCCTACCGAGGGGTTAGGGCACGCTTGGGTTTGTTTGGTGTGATTTGGGGTTTTTTGGTTTTATTTTTGTTTGTTTCTTTGCCAATCACCAAGGCCTTTGCGCCTTGGCCACCACCACGAGGCTCGGCTCTTCGATTCAGAGGTAGAAATTGGAAGCACCTAGAAAGTTCCACTCTCATCCTACCTGTGTTCTACCTTCCGCTAGTCACCTCCTAAGCGAGCCACGGGCTCGTGACACCACAGAATCCAGCCCCACAAAAAAACACGGAGGAAATCGTTCCTCGGTGAGATTGCCCGATTTGTGCCAGGATGGAGGGAGTTGTTTGCAATCAACCCTTTGGGGACGAGGGGACGACTGAATCCGCTTTGCATGGGGGAGGGGAGGGAGGGCGGGAGAAGGAAGAGGCACGGACCTCGTGCTCAAGGCGGTCTAATGGCTGAAGCCTAGCGCTGTTGGCATGACAACCGAGGCAACTCCAACTGCGCGTGCGCTCGTTCTCCCCTCAGCACCTTGAACTGTGCCCCCGTCACGTGGTTCCGAAGGAAAGCAGAGGTCTGTGTCTCTTCCATGTGCCAAATGTGAAGATCAGATGCTACAAACGGAAGCCAAATAAAGACGTAGCTGATGAAAGCATGGGTTAGAGGGTTTTCCTAATCTGTGTGAGGTCAAACCCAAGGGATGTTTACAGACTGTAGATAACCTACTTGAACAAAAATCAGTATTATAGAGAATAAATGGATGTAAGAAAATTACATGTATAAGTTTTGTATATTTGTTAATAATTTTGGTAATAAATATGATGCATTGCATCTCAGTACCTTAGCACTTCTTTTAATAAAAGTCCAATAGAAGGGAAGGTCTGTGGCGAATTTGTTTACTGGCTGACCTTTTAGGATCCCGATCTAGTCTTGCGTTTTTGGGTGGGCTGATTCACAAGGTGAAAAAAATAGGAGGGGTAGGCATCCTCTTTCTGTCCCCAGCCAGGTGAATGTTGTGGCTCAAACTAGTGACCTTCTGATGATCACTCTCCATCATCCCATCTCCAAAAAAGGTTAAGAATGTGGTATAACATCAATGATTCAGTGGAGAATTGAATCTGTGTTTTTCGTTTTGTGAGAGGGCAGGAGCCACAGCCATCAAGGAGGCAGACTCGATCCCTGTTCCGTGGCAAACCTTGAGCGTGCCATTCATCAGCTTCAGATGCGCTCAGAGAAGGGTGAGGCCATATGTATATATTTTTTTCCACCTTTCCTTTCCCCCACAGTGGTTGGTATCATCCTTTACATATAGGAAGTGCTTAATAACGATTTAGTGACCAAAAGATGAACTCGATCTCTCTTTGACATCCTATTACTATAGGATAGGATGAGTCACAAAATGAAGACAAATTAGGAATAAAATATTCGGTTTCTAGCAGTGCTGTTCAAATTTTAATGTGTCTCAGAATCACTTGGAGGACTTGTTAAACTACAGCTTCCTGGGCCCTCCTCACCCCCACCCCCCAAGGGTCTGATTGAGTAGATCTGGACAGGTT